GCCCTGGGACTTGAGTGGAAGCAGCACTGGAGAGTGGCCCAGGCAACCCAGAGAGCAGAAGAATCCCAGCACATGTTGTCTCAGTGACAGTTTTTAAAAGCTCTGACAAGATACTTTTCGCTAGATGTGTGACAGGTACACTCGGGACAGCAGTGTGACGGGGCTCCTGGCCCGGGGCCCATGGAGGGCAGTGCCTCCCGGCCCTGATGGCCACCCGGATTTGAACTACATTGTATGTCACAGATTCGGACATTCCCTTCAAAATAATTTCATTTATTTTCTATCCATTCCTTTGGCCACTGACAAACTTCAGGGGACTTGCCTCACATTTGTCTTCCGAGTATCAGAAGTGCCCAGTTCTCACTGCCATCTGCTTGGCTTGATTTAGTCACGAAGACTGTTCTTCATCTCACTCCCAGGCTCACTCTGAGGTGCCTCTTTAGTGTTACATCTTCCACAAGGTATAAAGCATACTTAAAAGTTCCCAGAGAACATTTCTCAGAGTATTTTCTTATATCTCAAAGGCAGTGAGGATTATATGAAGATCATCTGGGACAAGTTAAAAGAATTTAGCCCCCCTTACTGTGCTGAACTCAGTGCCAGCACGTCAGGCAGTACAGAAAGAAAGAACTGGTCCTGACAACAAGCTTTACAAGGAGACACACAGAACCAAGGTGGTGGTAATGCCAGAAGGAAGTTGTTCCTTGTTTCTTGTTTTCTTCCCTAGCAGAAAGAGTGCTGAGGAAAACAGGGGAGGCTTGGCAGGAGACATGTTAACGGGCAGTCCAAAGGGTTGAGGAGATTTACTACTGAAGACCTCACTGAGTGAAATCGGAGGGCAGCTCCTGACCTGTAGCAGTGACAGAAGCCCATGTGCAGGGCCCTCCCCCCCAGCTCTTCAGGATGGTATCCTCCAGGATTCTGTCAGGGATTCTTCTCTCCTCCTGATCAAGTCTGTTTTCATGATGTCTGCAGCCTCTTCGTGTTTTTCATCCCTTGTCTGCCCCCCAAATGTTGCCAATTTCCTCCTGGATCTCAGTTCTTCCCCATTGATTTGCCTCATAGCAGCCTTTTCAGAATGAACGGTGTGCCTCTCTCCACTAGAGCATAGTTCCGTGAGAAGAGACACCACCAGGAACGTCTCCCTTGCTGATTCCCGGCCCCCACAGAGCCTGTGTGCCATAAGTACTTGCAGGGTTAACCGGTGACTAAGATTTCAAGGTGATACTCATTGATTTCTCCCAGAAAGCGCTGAACCTCCACTACTGTGTTTTGGCTAATGACAGGACCACGGGGTCTCACCCGTCTCATCAGTCAACCGGACACTCGAAACTCATCATGGTTCCCCCTTTCTCCTCCCCCCAGCCACATCCAGTCAGTCAGTCCTTTCATTTTCCCCCCTCTTCCATTTGCTGACAAATACCTGTTAAGTCTGTATGGCAGACAGACCCTAGGCTGCAGGAACAAGGAGTCCCTGCCTCCAAACACCCCACCTACTAGCAGCCATCCCCACTGCCACTGACCCTCTCCTCACCTGGACTGTTCTAATGCCTTCCTCACTCTCCCAGGCTTTGCACCTGTTGGCCAGAAGGCAGAGACATGTCTGTCTTGATTCGCCATTGTGTCTCTTTTGCCCAGCACATTCTGGTAAACATTAAGCAAGTACTTGAGGACCAAACGAAGGGTTCCCCACTCCCTGCAGAATTCCAGCGTGTCAGCATGGGGTATTAGCTTCCCATTGCTGCTGTGACAAATTGCCACAAACTGGCTTAAAACAAGTATGTTACTTTATATTTATTAAAGTTCTTATAGGCCCGAAGTTTGACATGGGAGCTGCTGATCTAAAATCAAGCTGTTGGCAGGGGCTGCCTTCCTCTCCAGAGGCTCGGGTAGGGCCCATTTGCTCGCCTTTTCCAGCTCCAGGCCACCCGCATTCCTTGGCTGTAGTCCTTTCTTCCATTGGCAAAGGTGAGCCGAGTCCTCACATTGCATCGCTCTGAACTCTGCCCGCCACCTGACCTTGAGTGTCGCTGGGGCCCACCCAGACCTAGATAATCACCCTAGTTTCAGGCAGTTGAGGAGTAACCTTAGTTCCTGGAGCATCTGCACTCTCCTTTGGAGCGCCAGCCACAGGTGCCAGGGATCAGGGCGTAACTCCGGGAGGGCTGTTCCTCTGCCAGCCACGGGTGGCCTGCAAGACCGCTCGCACCTGGCGCGCATCCTACCGCTCTGCCAAGTTTCCTGCCATCCGGCTGTACTTGCCTCCGCTGTTTCTTCTGCTTGGAATGTGCTTCCCTTGGTGCCTCCCCTTTCCTCCCTGGCACCTGCCTGTTTAGATCCCACCTCACCTCTACCACCTCCGCAGCCTCCCCGGTCCCCTCCTGCACGTGTGTAGCCAGCGACTCCAGGGCTGCATGATGTAGGAAGCGTGGTGCACGCGCAGAACAAGACTGCAGAGCTCGTCACCACCGACTTGCTTGATAACGGGGCAGTGTGGGAACAGGAGGGGCGTCTACTGCAGACCCAAACAGTTGTGAGCATCTTCTCAGCCAGTGAGGTCTCTGCCTCCAGTGGCATTCGTGGCATTCTCTGCTGTGGGGCTGAGAGGAGCAGCAGGAGGGGAGCTCCAAGCTTACCTTTCACTCTGCCTGGCACCCTCAAAGGGTTGCACCTCATGTCTGAGCTTTGACTAGTCGGATGATAAAGGACCCAGCGTTGCAGTTGGCCAGGCCTGGGCCTCTGCCCACCCCTTCCACTTGGGCTCTGGGGAAGGGATGTCTGTAGGCGCTGACCCCAGGGTCGGCAGGGTCATAGGTGGGAAGTACTGGAAGAGAAACTTCCCGAAAGGAGTGGCGGGAGGGGAGGATGCAAGGCAGACTGAGCAGAATGACGTACTGAGACAGAAACCACCGGGAGTTGGAGGCAGGAATAGGAGGCTGGGAAGGCTTCACAGCCTGTGCGAGGAAGACCGAGGATCCCCTCTAAAGCGGAAGTGACTGAGGATCTGGGGTGTTCTTGTGACCCGGAGACAACAGTCAGATATTCAAGCTTGTGTGCGGGGGAGTGACATGACTCCAGCTGTTTCAGAGGAGACCCCTGACACCAATACAAAGCCATGGAACGCACCCCCTCAAAAAAGACCCTTTTTAGTGGTGACGCATTGTTGCTAAGGCCTGCCAGGCAGTATTTAAGCAGTAAGCGGGACAGATTTGGGACTCGAACCAACGCTGACTGCAAAGCACCAGGGAGTGGGCGTGAGGACGAGCCACAGGTTTGGCTCCTGGGTGGCTGAGGAGGACGAGACAAGGAACCCGACACACCAGCCCCAACGGCCGTCCCTTTTAAGAAACCTAGTCTGAGGTGCTGGCAGGAACCCGTAAGATGTTTCACAGACGGAAATTGAGTCCCAGGAGAAATCAACTTAACCTGGAGAGAGACGAGGTTACTCTTTCCCACAATGTGGGCTGAGCACACCTGTACATGAGAGGGGCTGTGGGGACACGTGGACCGTGAGCAACAGGGCTTAGAAGACACCTGTCGCTGTCGGGAGGAACTCGGGCTGGTGGCGTGTGCTGCCTTCCCGCTCTCCCAGGTGGCAGGCTGGGCCGTGGAGGAAACACTACTTCCCATCAAGCTGGTTTCCCATTTATGGCAATGAACTTCTTTTTAAAATAAACATTTCTAAGCGGAGCCTTTTGGAAACCAGCTGTAAATTGGCACACGCCACAGAACCAGACAGCGGGACGCGAGTGACCGAAGTCCGAGCAGTCGCCACGGCCCTAGGTGTGGACGGTCGTGCAGGAGCAGAGCGGAGGGCTCCGTCAGGACTTCCAGAAATGTCCCTAAAAGCAACATGACAAGGAGCGTGAAGTCACGCAGAACTTAGTTCTGAGGAGGGGGGCAGCCGGGCAAGCAGGCATCCCAGGCCGCAAATGCTTGCCCGAGGCTTAGAAGGTTGGGAGGAGGCGTTTACAAGGAGCTGAAACAGCTCCAACTGCTGAAAGGTTAAGGAGCAAGTTGGGTGATGAAGTAGAGGAAGAAAACGCTGCCTGTCCTTTACTCACCAGTGAAAGAAAATAGAGGACTGGGTACTTTGAAGGGTGAATAGGCTTAAGGAGGCATGGTTCAAGACCGGGACCAAGCAGCCAAGAAAAGGAAAGGGAGGAGGGAAAGAGGAAGAGGCTCAGTCTGGGCACTGGAAGTAGAAACTACGGGGGGACATCAGTCTGGAAACACGGTGCGCAGACGAGGTGAGGCAGCGAGAGCTGCGTGGAACCCGAAGGCGCGTGGTGCACAGATGTTCCGATCGGCCTCTAACTCGTGTGTGACTTGTCTCAAATTGCCACTGACCAAACTTGCACCTGCAGCGTATCCCTGAGTCATCCACGGGGAATCACTATCTTTGTTTCCAAACGTTCCAGTTCCCAAAGGAAAGTGGAACAGAGATCTCAAAGCGCTGTCACCCGCCCGAGGTCACATCCAAGTCTTAAATTCAGAATTTCCCTGGGCCCTTCCACCAGCCCGTGGCGGCACCCAGAACCCAGGCCCTCCACGCTCCGCGGAAAGCAGCGCCGCCTCGTGGGGCCGCCGCGGGGCCGCGTCCTCCTGCTCGGACCCGGGGATGACCAGCCGGGAGGCGGGTCGTGATGATGTCCCCTTTCAGCTGCGCCAGAAGAGCTGCTCTCAAGGTGGCCTTTCGTTGCTGATAAAAACCCCACGGGCAGCAGCCAAAAAACGCGGGACTCAAAAACATTTTTAGACCTTCCCTCCCTCGAAAGCTACTCAGTTCCTGAGCCCGGGGTGCGGAGCATCCACAGCCAGATCTGCGCCCCGCGGCATGGGGGTGAGGAGGGCCGGTCGCCTTCGGGAGAGGCCGGAGCAGGCTTCTCACCGCGGAACTGTCTCCGACCTTTAGAATGGGAGCAATGTCACCGTGTTACTGACCTTTACTATATTACTACAGGGAAAGGATGTGTAACTACTAGATTTGTCTACTGCAGGTCATGAATGAAAAACTTCAGCACTGCATGGAGCTCACCGACCTCATGCGGAATCACCTTGCAGAGAAGAGGGCACTGCGCCTGGAGTGGATGATTGTCATTCTTATCACCATCGAGGTAAAGAGCCTTTTCACCAAGATAATCAAAACAAAATAATAAAAATTTGATGTAGAAAATGGTAAGGGCAAAGGGCGTGACCTGGCTCTAATGGAACCTGGAAGTTTCCAAGGACTGTGGTATTATTTTGCAAATGTAGTTTTTGGGAAAGCCCACATTTTTGAAGTGGCCTTTACAGAAAGTTCTAGCTGCAAATTTATAATGGACAGCCCAACAGCAGGACTGTGCCTCAGATCTGTAGCTTGCCATGTGGGAAAGAAATATTTTCTCTTATTTCAGGTGCATTTTTCATTAATCACAGTCTTGAAAAAGTCATTTTTTTGCATGGACCAATGATTTGCTCTTCTTTTTATTACCCTAAGGTGATGTTTGAGCTGGGCCGAGTATTTTTTCATATCAAGTGATGACCAAAGGGAAAGTGTCCTTGCAAGAGAGATCCAAGTTCTACAGTCAGAATCAAGTGTTCACTCTTGGGGCCATCTCTTATTTAATGGGTATTTAATTTTTTTAAATAAAATTATTATAATGGTCACTTTCAGCCCCTAATGTATGTTGCTGCTTAAATAAAAATTATGAAAAGTTTGGTGTGTGAGTCTTTAACACTGACAGTTCGAAAGGAAAATGCTTAGTGGATGAGCTTAACATCTAGAAAAATACCGGCAGACACTTGGTGAAAACCAAAAGGCTTACCCTTTGGACACTACTCAGAATCCCTTTCCTAGCCCTGGCAGAGAACCACTCAAGAACTCAGGGGTGTGGGAATAAACATGCAAGTCAGGCTTCTGATGGCAGAAATGAATTTTATAGACCTATTTTAGGCAGCATAATTTGAGCATGACTGCTCCTTGGCACTCTGCCTCTTATTAATCAATATTTTCCATCCTTTCACTACCAACTTAATCAAAAAAGATTTTTCCCCCAGAGAAACTTTAGTTTTGTACACATACTTCAGGCAAATTAAAAAGTACCAAGTACTACAGGAAACATTTGTCTGCTTACCATCTGAATAAACAGCTAACATTTTAAAAGTTTTTATCTTCACTTGCCTTATTTTTCTGTATTACTTCCTTACCCCAATGCAAACCACAAATTTAAATGTTTTAATTTTCCTCATATTTACTCATAAACACAGTATTCCTTTGGAGACACTGTCATCTTGTATTCCATCAAGGCAGTAACCATTTATCTAGACTCATATTGATGACACTTCTGTATTTGCTGCAACAGTGCAGAGACACATCCTGGTGTCTTTCAGCACAATGCAAGAGCCTCCAAGGGACCTACACCCCAAAAACTTCCCACAGAGCATATGGAAAGCTAGTCCAAAAATTGCTTTCCAGATCAGGTTCCACATAAGCATTTTCATAAATCTACCTTGCCCTTGCAATCAGTGGCAAGCCCCTTCTTTCCCATTTAACTTCTCACTGTACAGAAGGCATCTCTCACCCTGGATCTTAGTGTAGAAAGCCTCATCTAAAAACCTTTAATGAATTTGGGGAATGCCAAGTGAGAGGACAATTTGAAACACTGGTCAATATTTATTAAAGGAAGCTCCCTTTCATAGAGACCAGGTTACCCCCCACCTACCTAAAATTAAGATTTCCAATAAAATTTTACTCCAAGTATCAATGTGTACAATGTGCTTTTGGGTCAACTGTGCAGTCATTGTAACAATTTTAATAACTCAAAACAACATGAACATTTGTTACCTCATGGTGATGTCAAATTAGAATTGAACATTTCAGCTCATACACAAATATGCTGCATAGAACAAAATAAGCAAACCTTCAAGCATAAAAATTTTTTATTCTATTAAGATAACATTTTGGGGGGGAGACAACGATAAGCAACATCATGGTGGTATCCATTCGTGGTATATTATATTCCACCACATACATCAAAGAGCGACACAATTTTTTGATTGCAGTCTTTGACAGCTTAAAAAGAAAATCAGCATTTGACACATCAGCAATTTTTTTTTTTTTAATGATGAAAGTTCCAACTCTGGCTTTAGAAGAGTTTTTGAATATTTTAGGTCTCACCACAAGCAAAATTGTTTTTCAATATCACAACTGTTCTAAGAGCAAAATGACCAAGAAACTCTACCAGAGTATCAAGAGCCTAAGGCGGACACATCCCCCAGGTCCTGGAAGCAGTCCTGAGAACCACTAAGTGTCACTTGGGTGGTGTCCAGGGCTAGGGGACCTGCATTCCAGCTTCCCCACCGGCCAGCTGGGTGGGCCTGACCACTCACAGCTCTGGGCCCCAGCTTACGCTGTGAAACTGGTTAAATAGCAGCACCACCTCACAGGGGTGCTGTGAGGATTGAGGGGATTAATGATGGGGAAGCTATGAGAGTTAACCGTTACAATCCATTCGGATGAAATCCACATAGGATTCTGAGACTGACTAGAGGTTCAATCAAATGCCTCAAACCCACAACCCTTCCCCGCTTTGAGTCCTCTAGTTAGGAAACACAACGGAGACTTGTAAGTCCTGCATCTGACTGGAGTGGTCATTTAAATATAAAAGGTGAGGCCTCCCTGGTGGTGCAGGGGTTAGGACGCAACCTAAGAAGCTGTCCGCCAGCCATTGCAGCACAAGTTCAATCCCTGGCCAGGGAACTACCCACATGGCGCAGCAGACCTCGCCTGTCTCCCCACTCCCCTCAGCAGTAGATTTCAGTCAATCCACCTCTTTTGTTCCCCGCTCTGTCTCTGGTGAATCCTCTCACCCCCTGCACCTTTGGCCTGTACCCCAGTTCTTGTATGCATAAATAAATCTTTAAAAAATATACATATAAAACATACTTAAACATTTAAAATATGAAACATATTTCATGGTTTAAAATGAGTTGGCGTTTCAGTGAGAGTCAAAAAACGGTTTTTAAACTACCTAACTCTGCATATTTCAGGCAGCTGCCAAAAGGCATTCAGGGGTGTCTTCTTAGATAACTGCAGCAGTCAATACATTTTTTTGTGTGCAAAAATCAATATATTGTGACTAATTTTATCATTTTTTTACAAAAGTTATATTCACCTGTGTTGAATACCACTTAGAGCAGTTTTTCCCAAAATATGATCCTCAGACCAATCACATCAGCAAACACCTGGTGTCAACACATTTACTAAGCCAGAATCTATGAGGATGCAACCTTCTAGGGAACTTTAAAACTCTCCAAGAGGGCCTACCCTGGTGGCCCAGCAGTTGGGCGCTGGGCTGAGAGGCTGCCCGCAGCCTCCACAGCGCCAGTTCGATCCCTGGCCGCCAGCGAGGGTCCCACATGGCGCACAGACCTCTCCAGCTGTGCCCGTTGCTCCCCTCAGCAGTGTATTTCCTGGGTCTGTCTATTCTGTTCCCCGCTCTAGTTAATTCTCTCACCCTTCGGCACCTCTGACTGTACCCAGTGCTTGTATAAATAAATAAATAAATCTTTAAAAAAAAGAAGAAAGAAAACTCTCCAAGAGATTCTTATGCTAACTCTTGAGACCAACTAACTTAGAGCCAATTTATTGGTCTATATTGTCTACAGATACAGATTTTTTAAATACTGCACTAGCACTGTCTCTTGTTCTGTTCAATGTATATACTAATTAAGTACTAATCTTCACTGGTGACAACTTCTCTCCAATCCAATCTCATACTCTTCCTCCCAGTCTTTACAAATCATGTACACTGGACAAGGTGATGAGGATGAGAGGCAGAGAAAAGTTTTCCTAAAACTACTAATCCACCTCCATCTGGCCCTCCAACTGGATCTGAATTGCCCTTTCTAATGAAGACTGATGGTCACTATTCCAAATTGCCTTTTCCTTGAGGAAATTTTCCTCACAAGAGGGTTAAACAAAACAGGATTTTTTCTAATGGCAATTCTCACTCCTGCACAATTTTAAATAAAAGTTTTTACATGCTTGCTTAAAAATGTTTGAGCCTCCTCCCTAGACTTATAATAAAACAGGCTGGAAAAAAATTGTGAAAGAATGGTAAAACCTGACAGTCAATTCGTGCAATTCAACAACTGTTTGCTTGGGAGGTAGTGTGCCACGCCTCACCCCAAGACCCTGTGGCAAGGAGACAGTTTTCTTTATGTGGCCCTTTTCGGATCCTGGGTTTCCTGGCACTGAGGGGTTTTCAGGTAGCTCCACTTTGAACCAGGAAAAGACTGAGCAAAACAGCAAGCTAGTTATCCAAGCTTCACCACATTTTAGAAATCAGAGACATTTAAACAGTCACCTCCTTCAACTCAGGACTCTGCTGCTACTAAGCTGATCTTTAATGTGGGTAAGTTACTAAAAGCAGGAAGCTCACCTACCAATGATCAATCATCTTCATAAAGAATAAAAACATTGATATATACAGTTGATATATAATTAAAGAAAGTTTTCTTCAAATTTCATTAACGTTCCAAGTCAAACACAATGCTATGAGCAGAAGCATTCCTTTGTTTTTTTAAAGAAATATTTCAAAATTAAAATGTCTAAAAATCATTTGTGACTACTGACACATGACAATTGGGATAAATCTTTCATTCAACTTGGCTGAGTGAAACAACCAGTCTCAGAGGCTACATATTGTAGGTTTCCATTTCCGCAACAAGGAGAACAGACAGAAGTAATGAGATCGGAGGCTGGGGAGGCAGGGGAAGGAGCCCTGGTACATAATCAAATAGCATGAAGTTTTCTGAAGGGTTGGAACCACCCTGCATCCTGGCTGTGGAGGTGTGCACACAACTGTATACCTGTGTTACAGTTCACGGAACTGGCCACCCAAAGAAGAGGGTCAACTTTACTGTGTTACATCAGTGGTTTATTCAAGAACATTCATGACCTTATTTTACTGAGGTATTGTGTTAAGACCCCTTACACAGACTTTTCTTCTTTTATACTCACACAACTCTGCGATATTTCCCCTATTTGAGTACAACGAACAAAACCCAGACTCAGTGGTTAAGACGGCCCAAAGCCCAACAGTGTAAGGAATGGAGCACGATTCCCACTCAGAGCTGAGCGCAAAGCCGAGCCTTAGCCACCGTGCGAGAGTACACGCTCCCCTCCGCGCATAAATACCTATCCCCTATCATAACCTCTCCCAATGGTGTTAGGAAACTACTAAGCTTCCTCATTCTATTCTTAACATACTGCAGACGCAGAAATGTGCAGAGGAGCAAAAATTGATTCTACAGCAGCACGAACCAACAGAATTTTCTGCAACACAAATGTTCTGTAGTCTCTTGTATTGTCCAATATGGGAGGCATGAGCTCCATGTGGCTAACGACAGCACGTGACTGGCATGACAATTTACACAGCCACGTGGGGCTAGAAGCTACTGAGCTGGACGCTGAAGTTCCAGAGCAACAATACAAGAGCATCATGCATAGCACAGAATGAAGCAACTTATCAAACTAGGATGGCAACTTACCAACAAAAAAAGTGAAGCGACATAATGAAGACATAAAATTGGGAAAAACACAACCCCAAACTTGTCACAAAATTAAGTCTCATTTCAAACATCTCACCCTTCAAGATTCAGATAAATACCAACTTCATTTATATAACACTTTGCACAGATAGTGCAGAACAAACTGTATATTAAGGACTGTGTTCTCCCCTATTGAAATGCGTACACCTTAAGAACAGTTATTAGCACATCCACAACCAACACCTACCATTTTCTACCAGGAAAAAAAAAAAAAAAAAAAAAATTTTCATTCAGTTCTAGTGGGGGAAATGATCATCTTAGGTCCTTCAACCACAAACACAATTCAATCCTGCATGCGTGTGAGCACCAGCAGTATATAGAAAAGGAAGCCCCTCCCCTCAAGGAAATGAGGGATACAAAATACAGACAGGGGCCTCCCCGGTGGCGCAGCGGTTGAGCGCTGGGTTGCGAAGCTGCCCGCAGCCTCTGCGGCGCCGGTTCGATTCCCGGCTGCTCCCCGGCCACCGGAGGAGGGTCCCACATGGTGCGCAGACCTCTCCTGCCGCCCGCTGCTCCCCTCAGCAGTGTACTTCGGTCCTTCTGCCTGCTCTGCTCCCTGCTCTGGCTCTGGTGAATTCTCTCACCCTCCCGCGCTTCTGACTGTACCCAGTGCATGTATAAACGAAACAAACGAACAAATAAATAAATAAATAAAAACATGAAAAAAAAAAAAAAAAAATACAGACAGGGCCTCCCAGGTGGTGCAAATGTTAAGATGCAACCTATGAAGCTGTCCACAGCCTCTGCAGCACAAGTTCGATCCCCCGGCCGGCCAGGGAGCTACCCACATGGCACAGCAGATCGCTCCTGACTCGCCCACTGCTCCCCTCAGCAGTGTATTTCGGTCAATCCGCCTGTTCTGCTCCCCACTCTGTCTCTGGTGAATCCGCTCATCCCCCACACCTCTGGCCTGTACCTAGCTCTTCTATGCATAAATAAATCAATCTTTTAAAATAAATAAAAATATATATATACACAGACAAAAAAACAAAGAAAAATCTAGAGTTATCACATTAAGTATGTACATTCAGTGTGTACATCAGAACAGGAACTGTCAGGAGTCTTGGGAAGCAATTTAAGGAAAAAAGCCGCCATTATCCAATTTTGAAAAAAACCAAAGTGTAGGGTATTTTACTGTATCCCCACCTAATAATTGGAAAAGCCTAATGGGTTAAAAAACAAAAATCGAGCTCTTAAAAATCTTGACCCAGAACCAAGCTACTTCCTGATTTATCCCAGCTGCACTGGCCACCAATGTCTCACTGTACCCACTAAACTAAAGCTAACCTTAAATCCATCTAGATGCAGTTCCCATGAAAATGTCACAGAAGTGGCATAGTTTTCTTTAGATTTAAACCCTGATTATCTTTCAGCTATGATATAAAAACTCATGGTCAGTACGTTAAGGCAGGACGTGGAGCAAACTGTACGTAAGCAGTTTAAATCCACAAGTACATTTTCTGTTTCCTCTAAAAGCCAAGCGGGGGAGGGCTGGTGCTGGTATGAGGAGTTGCAAAGTTGTGGAGACGTCAAGCATTATTTGCAGGCCAACTATGTTGAGAGTATAAGTACTGTCATGCAGAAACTTGCAAACTGGAAAACCAGAAAATAGTTCTAACATGATAACATCTTTAGAAAAAAAATTTTAAAAACTTACCAATTTTTTCATCTATATCAGCACAGATTATTCATGACGAAAGGTGAGAGGAAATCTGTTTACAGTTTTCTAGACTAAATGCCATTCGGCTGGTTAATTACTTAACTTTCCGAGTCTGCCTTCTCAAGCTTAAGACCGGGGGAATGAAGAGCAGTGCACTTGGACAAAGAGTGACAACAGGTAATTACTTACATTACTTTAGCAAGGCTTCTGGGTCAACACAAATTCAGTCAAAAAAGAAGAAAAATACAGATTTGTGGCTATTAAAACGTCCATAAATTCATTAATATCCCTCCCTTCAAGACAGAGCTTAATTTTTCTCCCCTGACAAGAGAAGCTGGCTCAGCGCCGTGACTTGCTTCTAACAAACAGCTTGTGGCAGTGATTGTGGCTTCCTCCTTGCTCTTGCTTGGATCCCCTGGTGGAAGCCAAGCACCAGCACCTGGTGAAGAAATCCCGACGGTCCAATGGAGAAAGACTGAGGTCAGCCGGCTGAGGGGGGAAGGCAGAGACGGCTGGAAGCACAACCGAGCTCAACATCTGGACTCCAACCTCAAGAAAACCCTTGACACAACCACCTCGCTCACACGCGGCATGGCCTCAGTGGTGTTTTGAAAGACACTAAAGTTTGGCGTGAGAGAATATGTGTGTTTTCTAAACTGTAGACCCTGATCCACTTGTGACTGACGGAAACAATGCAAGGCACCACAACCAGCTTTAAAAAGCAGAGTCCATCACTCGTAAAAACAAGTACAATTTCCTGAAAACTGTTTCAATTTTACTTGTGTGCTTACCCGGTAGCAATTTAAATGCCTTTCTCAGAATCACAGCTGAAAAAGTTTGAAACCCACAGACCTACACTAATGGACTTAAAACAAAAGGTTCCCCAAAGTGTAGGGAATCCGTGAGGGACTCTGGGCTCGTTAACAACCAACTATAAAGTAAGCATTTTCTATAAACTTTACAACCAAATCAACAAAACACGAGACACTCTCTAAAGACATCTTTTGATTTCTGTACTAACCCTGATAGAAAAGCCCAGCATGTGAAGGCAGGTTGTCCTAAGGGAAGATGTTACAACAGGCAGCTTTCCTAAAATTACATAGTGAAAAAGCTACTTCAGGAATCTACCCACATTTATTATTTCCTCTTACTATTACTTTTCTCGTCGATGTCAAAGGACACGCCAACATCGGCCTAAGCACACACACTCACGCAAAAGCTCTCCCGCACAGAAGTGTTATTAAATTGCTTTCTGCCCCGTCCACGGCTCACCCGGAACAGGCCAGGGCGTCCTCGGGCTGTGCCTCAGCCTGACACACACAAAAAACGTTCAGCAACACAAGACTGCAATTCTGCACTACTTTTGACTTCTGAGGGTCCATTCAGATTATTTGCTTGCATTTCGATCTTCTTGGAAGTAAAATGTGTGAAAATAGCTTGAACTACTAATTTTCAAAATACCAAAATATCGAACACGAAGCAGATGACTGAACTTATTTTTGTTATCACTTCAGAGCACCCGTGGCGCTTCCACAACCAGACTCATCTGCAGCTTCTCGACCTTCTCCCAAGACGCCAGTCTTCCCATCCAGGACGAGGTCCTCTCCCCGACTTTTGCCTATGTGCCCACCGAAATGTTTCCATGTCAGCACTATTCAAGTTAGTTTGTATGTTATTACCCGACGGTGACTAAAAACACAGTTGCAGGCGCGTGTGCCTGTGGCGTGAGAGAATGAGCAGCAAAGCAACCTGGTTCTAAATTCAAGAGCCACCAACAGCTCTTGGAGACCAGGGTGCTCTCGAAAGCGCTTTCTCATCCATGGAGTTGTTTCATGAATAACTTCTGGGTCTACTTCCAGGCAGCCACATAGAGGCAACACTAGAAAACTGTTCACTGGCTTAAAGCAATGATTCCGCCAACTGGCCTGGACGGAGGGCCAACGACTCGAGACCCAGGGGAAGCCTCAGCCCGATGGCGTCCATAAAAGCGCTCGTTCGTTTTGCCCGCTTTTCCCCCCGGTTCGCCTCCGTGACAGCCCGTCCCACAGAAAACCTAAAAGCTCAAAGTCTAACAGAACGAAGAACTCGAAGATCTCTAGCGCTGACCGCCCAGCCAGAGCCACCGCGGTTCTCTGAGCAGCTGTGAGCGCCTGGAGCCACCTGAGGGCCGGCCCGGCGTCCTGGGGCCGCGCGTGCGGTCGGGATGCGGGTCCGCGGCGGCAGCAGCCATCGCGCCCCGCGTCCACCTGATCCCAGGAGGGGAACTCGCAAGGCAGGTACGTGCTCAACCTGCTACTCGCTCTCGGGCCGCCCAAGCTACACGGCTGCCCACTTGGTCTTCGAGGAGGGCACTCGTCAGCCGCGGCCCGGGGACAGCTGGAGGAGGAAAGCGAACTCATTTTGGGGGGGCCACTTTGCATGATGCCTGAGGAGCAAGCGCTCAAGTAACCTGAACGGGGCGCCAGGCTCCGCGTCGAGGCAGCCGCGCGGGGACCCCCCACCCGCGGGAGCAGCGGCCCCGGAGCCCGCCGGCCCCTGCCGAGGCCGTCCCCTCGCCCCGAGCTCCCAAGCCCGACATATGCAAAATGGGGACCACAGAACAAAACACGAAGCGCACCCCGCAGGGCTGGGGGCTACGCCAGGGATAAAAACAAACCCCGGGCACCAGCCAAGGGGAAAAGGTGAACTTTAAGCCGGCGAGGGCGAGCCCGAGGGCGCCGGCCGGTCCCGGGAGCCTCCGGGCCGGGCTCGCGGGGGGCCCGGGCCGCCCGGGGATCCGGGGCGCGAAGCCGGAGGCGCGGCCGCCCCTGCAGCGCGCGGGCCTGGACGGGCGCCGGGGCCCGGGGCCGCCCGGGGCGGCCGGGCCGGGCCGGGAAGTTTCCCCGCGGCACGTGGCGCGAAGTTGCCCGGGCGGCGCCGGCGGGGCGGGGCGGGGCGGCGGCGGCGGCGGCGCGCGGGCGGCGGCGGGGGCGGCGCGGGCGGGCGGCGCGGGGGGGCGCGGGCGCTCGCCGCCTCCTCGCCGCCTCTCCCCGGCGGGAGCCGCTCAGCCGCTGCACGAGTCGCGCCGCTCCCGGTCATGTGACCTTAACGTAACCGGACAGGAAAAGCCCCGCCGCCGCCGCCGCGCCGCGCCGAGACACCGACCGGCGAGCAGCAGCAGCACGGCCGGCGCGGCGGGGCGGCTCGGCCAGCGCCCGCCTCCGCCTCCGCCTCCGCCCGCCGCAGGTAAGCGCGGCGCCCGCGCGGGGCCCACGTGCCGCCCCCGGCCCGGCCCGGCCCGGCCCGGCCCGGCCCGGCCGCGCCGCCGAGGGGGCGGGGGCCGCGCCGCGAACCGTTCGGGCCGCGACGGAGGCAACAAAGAGGACGCGGCGCCGGGGCTCCGGCCAGGCCGGCGGCGGGCCGGGCGGCGGGGCCGCGGGGGGCGGCGGCGGGGCGCGGGCCGGGGCGCCGCTGGCCGCCTGACAAAACCCGCCCGGAGCCGGGCGGCGGCGGCGGCGCGGCGGCTCCATCCGGGGCTTTGCGGGAGGGGGAGGGGACGGAAGCCGAGAGGGCGGGCGGCGGGCGGGGGAGGGAGGGAGGAAGGGGAGGGGGGCGACTCGCGTTCCGTTCCCGTCGCCGGTCCCTCCCTTCCCGCCGCCACCGCGGAGGGCGTCCCGGGCGGCGGCGGCCGGCGAGCGTCCCGCGCTGGAGCCCCGCGCGGCGGGCCCGTCAGGTGCGTATCCTCGGCGCCGCGCCGCCTCCTGCTGCTGCCGCCGCTGCTCCTCGGCGGCCAGGCCGCGGGCTGCGGAAGTGGGCGGGGGAGGGGCGCGGGGGAGGGGAGGGATCCGGTCCGACCGGAGCAGGCCCGGCCTCTCTGGCGCTTCTCCCAGCTGCAGCGGCTCCCACAGCTGCTGCCGCGACGGCTGCGGCTCCGCCTCCCGCTCGCGGGCGGGGGCGCGCACGCGCGCTTCCGGCCGCCGCGGGTCTCGCGCTGTCTCGGCTCTCGCGCGCGCTCTTCCCGCTCCCGCCCGGCGCCCCCGCCCCCGGCGCCGGGGCTGTGGCGCCCGCCCGGGCGGAGCACGCCGCGTAGGCGTCGGCCGGCCGCGGCCTCCGCGGGGCTGAGGGCGGGCGCGCGCGGGGCTGAGGCGGCGGCGAGCCCGGGAGCGTCGCCCCCCTCCCCGCGGCCCCTGGGGGTGGGGTGGGGGCGGGGCCGGCCCTGGCGGCGGGGGCCCCCGGCGCCCCGCGGCCCCCCCGCGGCCCGGCCCCGCCCCCTGCCGCGCCCCCGCCCCCTGGGGCGGGGCGGGGCGGGGCGGCGCGGCCGTTGGGCGCTCCCCGCGGGCCGGGCCTGCGGCGGCTGCAGCTGCGGCTGAGGGCGCCGAGCCCGCGGCCCGCGCTTCCGCCCCCGCCGAGCTGCGCCTCCGCCGGGCGCGGCCGGCCCGGCCTGCGGTTTCAGGCGGCCTCGCAGCCGCCGGGCGTGGGGCCCGCGGCGGGGCCTCGCTCTCGGGGCGCGGCCCCCACACCCGGCGGGGGCGGCGAGCCCGGGCCCGTCACCGTGGAGCCCGCCGCAGGGGCGCTGGCGGCCCCCAGCCCCGGGGGCCGAGGCTTTCGGCGCTCGGCCCGGCCGTGAGGAAAAGGGGTGGCGATGAGGAGAGGCCCGGGCGGGGCGGCGGGAGGACGGGGCCGCGGTGCCGCGCCGCGACCGCGCGAGCTGCAGCTGCTGGGCTCGCCGGGCCCCGGGGAGCAGCCCCCGCCCCCGCCCCGGCGGCGTCGCCGCTCCGCGCCTCACAATGGGCGCGTTTAGCGCGCGAGCTCGTTCTCAGGGGCTGTTGTTTCAGCAAAAGGCAACTCGAGGGAGGTCGGGGGCGCCGACTCCGCGGGACGCCCGCCCGCCGGCGCCGGGGCTCCCCGGGCCCCCCGGGCTGGGTGGGGGGCGGGGGCCGACCCCAGCGGAGAGCCGCAGCCCGTGTCCGTTTTAGTCTGAGATCTAAGGCTTTGACAGGAAGTCAGACGAAGACATTTCACATCCCCCCTTCTGACATCACCCACCAAAATTCATAAAGTAAATTTTGCTTTGTATTCTAAGTAACCTTGACCTATTTCCAGGGTGTTGGCAAACTGGAAAGGTCGTTCTTAGGAAGACAGCTTACCGCTGACGGCACATGTCCTCAGCTGGGCATTTCCCACTTAGTAAGTTTATGGTCCGGGCAGGTTTATTTCTGACCCAAGAAGCGACCTGTTGTTGCAACCTGTGGGGGGTATTAAATGCTCCCGTGGCCAGGGAGCATTTTTAAGAGTGGCAATTAAGGCGCCCCTGAAACTTTGTGGTACAGGCCACTGCTTGACTTGACAGTTGTCAAGCTTCTCCTCAAGTAGATGGTAACCTCTTCCAAAATACTCCAACGGCAGGGAATAAATACTAGGCATGCGCTCAGGTCAAGGAATAAAAGCAGCCGCAGTGTTTTTTTAATCGTAAAGATGACTGTGAACTTGGCACTGTCCTCCGAAGTCTTTACTCTCGTGATATAAAAGGTGCCCCATCCCACTAAGAAGATGCACCTTAGGATACTACACGTCCCCAAGATGACAGTTTCTGAAGCAGAGCTAGAGAGCAAAGGACACACCTCAGGCAGATTGGGGGTCAGCCTCTTTGCACCCACGGTCTCTCTTGTGACCTCTCTCAACCTATTTCTGGGTGCTTCATCCCTAGACCCACTCATCTTCCCTCAAATAACTTGAAACACTGGACACAAGAAGGCTCCTGGTAGCCCAATGAAGGAAGAGACTGCTGGGGACCTAATTATAAATTTCAAAACCTGTCACTTTTCCTACTTAGGATCTTTGTTTCTCCAGACATGACCCTGAAAACCCAAAAGGGAATTGAATCCCAAATATTCTAAGAATTAGATCAGAAACATTTGAAACCTTTTTTTAAACACAAGGAGGTTATCTTTTTCATTAGCTAGTTAAACCTAAATAACTAATGCTTTGGCTCGATAGTCACTAAGATCCCATGCTTTACCATGCTGGTATGCCAGAGCTGGAGTCAGTAGCCACAGAACACTTACCAGTAATTGGCAATCCAAGACATTTAGGATTTTTTGTTATGGTATAGAGGGCAACTTAGAGGTATTTATGCGCAAACACCCGTGATCCCCAGTCCAATTCTATGAGGCCAGAATCATGTGACTTTCACTTTTAGAAAGTGCTGTGTGAGATTTAGTAAAACACTTTTATGTATCAAGTTAAGTGCTTATCAAACAATTTATGTACAGTTTAAGGGTGTGTACAGTTTAGGGGTGTGTGTGGTAACACACCCCTACATTCTGTACCAAGCAATGATAAACCTCAAAATAGTCTGGAAAGAGTTTTGGGGGGTGGGGGACATGTATTCTATGCCCCGCGTGGTCATCTAGATTTCCCAAGGAATTCTGAGCAGGGCTTGGCCGCCTGAGGTATACAGGTCTACAGGCCTGTGAGCCCCCAGCACCCTAGCAGGGTTCTCTTAGGTCAATTATTTTCCTGATAATGCTAAGACACTGTTGGCCTTTTTCTACTGTTGGGAGGGGGCGTTGGGGGGAGTAAAAACCAGACTTGGGTAAAACAGATGCACTCAAAGTGAAAGATAGGGCCTCCCTGGTGGCGCAAGGGGTTAAGCGCCGCACTATGAAGCAATCCACAGCCTCTGCAGCACGAGTTCAATCCCAGGGAGAAACCTACATGGCAAGGCAGACCTCTCCTGTCTAACCCGCTGCTCCCCTCAGCAGTGCATTTCAGTCAGTCTGCCTTTTCTGTTCCCCACTCTGTCTCTGGTGGATCCTCTCACCCCCCCACCCCCGCATCTCTGGCCTGTACCCCGCATCTCTGGCCTGTACTGCGGCTCTTGTATTCATAAATAAATCTTAAAAAAAAAAAAAAAAGTGAAAGATAGAGGGGCCTCCTTGGTGGCACAGGGCTTAATCTCAGCACTATCAAGCTATCAGCAGCCACTGCAACATGAATTCAATCCCCTACCAGGGAACTGAACCACATGGAGCAACAGACCTCTCCTGTCTCACTGGCTGGTCCCCTTAGCAGTGTTTTTCAGTAAAATCCACTTGTTCTTCCCAGACTGTCTCTGGTGAATCCTTTCACACACACACATAAACACACCACCCTCACCCCCCCCCACCCCCCACTCCGCATCTCTGGCCTACACCCTGGTTCTTGTATGCATAATAAAAAATAAAAATAAAAAATAAAATCTTTAAAAATAAAAGTGAAAGATAGAGGTGTAATAGAGTAGGTTGGTGTATTTTTAGGTCACACTTTTAAGAAGATACCATTTGTCATGTTTTGGTGTAGTATCAAAAGACTATCCACTATTACCTGAAAAGGCTATTAAAATATTTCTTGTTCCTACTCAAACTCAGTGAGGCTGGATTTTCTTCAATACTCAACCAAAACAGGCATCACAACAGAGTAAATGCAGAATCCCTTTATCTTCTGTTGAAGAGATTTGTAAAAATATAAAAAGGTTCCACTTCATTTGTTTTGGAAAGTCTCATTTTTTCATAAAAATGTATTACCATGCAATGGGTTTATTGTTTTGAATCAATAAATATTTTTTAAGTTTCTCCGTTCTTATTTGTAATATGGTAAATAGCAGTGGTTATAGTCCATATCAACAGATGTTTGTTGGTGTCCTCAATTTAAAGATAGTTTTAAAGAGTGAGGGGATCCTGATACCAAAACATTTGAGAACCCTTGCCCTAAAAATATTGAAATATTCAGTTAAGACTTTGAGTTAAAACACATTTGGAGCCCCCCTCTGGCTTATGCTGAGCCATACCTGTAGGTGATTATAGTTCCTAAAGATTGATTTTACTAATCATGCAACATATAAAAAAGGAAGGTGCTCTGTTATTAGAAGCAAATTGGATTAGGTTTTAAAATTCGCCGTGTGGTCATTTGTAGGCTTCCTTAAAGTTGATTCTAACATAGTGCCTTTAGCGTTATCACTTTAATATCAACTCTTTATTAGCCATAAATCTCTCCCCTGCTTCACCCTGACACCTGAACTGTCCCTGATCTGCTGCCTTCTAAACTCAACTCACATTCAAAATTAAAAACTAATTGTAATGTTAGCTCAGGCAGGATATAATTGAGAAGACAAATCTCTTACAAATGCAGTGCTTTACAAAATCAAAAGTAAGTCAAGGTGGCTTCATCTGTCCCCCCTTTCTAATTACTGTAGAAGAGCGATGTCT